TGAATTTTTCGATGATCCCTAGCCTTCGAGCCAGGGATTACCAAAGATTTCGATATCCTGAGATTTCACTTATTTATACTAAAAACATCTTTAGCAGTGCCGTAGTATATCCACAGTACAATTTTACAGCGTTTTCACTGAGTTTTCAGGAAGATAAATCACTTTGAAAAGGAGTGATTCCCTGGGGATCAGCAGGGGATCCCCAGGGGATTACACAAAATAGTGAAAATCTAAATATTCACGCCAATAACCTGGCATCAACTATGTGCAGGTATTAAGGTATGAAAACCTTCATAAGCAAGATAGAAAAGGAAGAAAAAGATACCGAGAGTGGCGAGATATGACGCATCCCCTCTCAGATCCTCTCCCCTCCCTAGCGGAGATGTACGTGCATAAGGGCCTAATTGTAAGATCCAAAGCGTCTCCGCTGAACGAAGAAAACTAACACCTATGAAGAAAACTAACACCTATGGACCCTTTCAATGGATACGTGAAAAAAAGCGTTGCTCTAAAGCGCTACCTATGAGAAAAGCTGGAACGCTGGTATTGTGTGTTCCAAATGCATTTATACACCAATCACATACAGTGTCTTTATTGATTTGTGTAAAAACATGGTGAAAGTTTTCATTCAAATGCAATTGTGAGCCACAATCGAGACTGGTGATTGTTTATTTAGGCTGACGTGTTGCAGTGACTCTCCTCTTTCAGAGCATGAAATGGAAGAGAGGAATTTTCAAACTACCGGACCAAACCTCTCCTTAGTCCTACCAAAACTGCGTCAAGTTCATGAGTTGCGCAGGCTCATGCTTTATACCCCCTGCCCCTGCAAGTTTATACAAACAAATTTAATTATTAAAATTTGTCATTAGAACATAAAATATAGAAAGGGGCGGAGAAAGGGGGTCGGAGGGGGAGACCGGAGCCACCAGCTAGAAGGCTAGGTCCGGCCCTTCTGCTTGTGATCCAGCGCCGCCCACATTGCGCTACATTTTGACAAAAGTAAGCTTTCTTTCACCGCAAAAGTCTACTACTCGCAGTCCTTTCGTTCGCCGGTAAAATGTCGGGAGAAGAGCGAGCGCTTTTGACCGCTTGAGCAAGGAAATAAACTTATCTTACGAGATCAAAAATCTGATGTGATACGCGATAAGGTTTCAAAATTTTGCGAGTGGAAGTTTAAGCTTCGTGCGCTAGAATCTCCGATATACTCGGCCACAAACCTTTCATGATATGAGGTAGAGACAACACCCGAACTCATGCATACTCCGTTTTTTGCTGTTTGACATATTGCACATCTCGGCGTCGGGCAATTGCAGTCGTACATACGATTCCAAGTAATGTTACGTTTCAGATTGTTGGGAGCAATATTTATTACTGAAACTGAACTGCCTAGCCCTGCCTTCCTCAAGCACTGCCGAATGGTGGCTCATTTCATTGGAGACTAAGGGTATGCAAAAGGAAATCTTTACAAAACCTTTTTGCGAACGATCTCGCCTTATCTACAAAGCTTCCCTGTTGGCTCCTCTTACATAAAGTCATCAGGTTTTCAAACCGCTCGGTAAAGCTCTTCATATTGTTTCCATGTATCTATTCGCTTCAAACTTTTTCAGTATTGGCATATTCTTTCTGCATCGCTGTTAATGTTGCTTAACTTTGCAGGCACTTTTCTATTGCATAATCAAAGCTACGGAGTGCTACATTTTCAGTTAAAACTTTAACGGAATAAAAGTATTGAGCTGAACTAAGTTTTGCAACTTTCTCATAACTTTACTCTCTTTGGATGTGGCGCACTGAAATTTGGCAATATGATGAGCGTAATTGTGCAACAATTGCACATAAACTGTTCGAATTTTGAGCACGAAATGGGAAAACTTATTTTTCGAAAACTAGCGAATTTGTTAATTTTGAGGTTATAAGCCAAAATAAAGCCATTAGCAGCCTACACCATGCACAAATTGTTGCTAGACTCAATCAGCCAGTCAGAAAGAAAAAAAATTTTTGGTTAAGTCGAGATTTGGCGTTTTTACAGATTCGAAACGAGTCGCTGTACGTAAGGCTGCGAGGGACAGCCTCAATCATACACTAGATACATAGAGCCGCGTACTCTGGTAACCTTCACTTTGAGGGCTATGAGGGGACACAACCTTCAACTGGAAAAGAACAGAAGTCATCCGGGGCTTCGCCCCGGATGTTATTATTCTGACTATATTGGAACGAATGTTAATGAAGCAAATGTAGAGGATAATATCTTTAGCTTATTTGAGCGAAACCGAGAATTTGCGTTAAAAAGAAGGTTTCTATGAAATTTTTGCCAGAATTCAGGATAAAATTTTTCAGTTAACCTCTTATTTGACCAGAATCGAGTTTCAGAAGTTTAGGAAAGCTATTGAGTTGAATAAAGAAAAACTGCGCCTAAATCTTGCGCAGAGGGTCGCGCACGAAAACGCTGGTCTATCTCGTTAATGAGTGGTTTTTAAAGCTTGGGACGTTGTCAGTTCTCCTCGTCGTGTCGTTACGATCAGAATGATATATAATGTTGCAGGGTTTCGTTCAGACCCCGCGGAGATCTACTACCAGAGCCAAATGCCCCGTCGGCTCTGGTCTGTCTCCGCTGCTCGTCTGCGTCTCCGCGCGCTGCGCGCTACTTCGCTACCCCAAACGCGGGGCGCGGGCATTTGGCTCTGGTACCCTTTTCTCCGCTGTTTAGAACCCAGTTTTCACAAGCTATATATCGTTTTGAAGCTCTCGATCTCTATTTTCACGCTGACAACGTCCCAAAATCACATTTCTTGATTTAAACGAGAAATCCAGCAAAGACCTTGTTTTCGAAAATCTCTTGCTTTGTTCTTAGCTTGACTCTTTTCACGCGGTTTTCTTCGTGGATTCTTTAGATCTCGCTTCTGTTCACAACGCAGACAACCACCCAGCCCTTATCTCTTTGATTATGACGGAATTTTTTGCGAAAAATCGTAAGAAGTGCGTTCTTCTTCAACTTGTTCTGTTTCGGTGCTTTCGCAGCGATTTTTCTCCAGCTTAAGCGATTATTGCTCAGAACAATAAGCGCAACAATCCAGACAACGTCCCAGGAAACATGAATGCCAATGCGGGGCGAAATTTTAAAGGACGCATCAAAAAACCCCGTGTTGCGCATTGCTGGTCCTGGCGAAAACTTGCACCTTGAAAAGCCGCCAAATGAAAGATTTCAAACCTCATTGCAGCGTTTTTATCCAGTTTCCAGCAGTTTCTTTTGCTTTTTATACCTGTTTTACGTCATTTTCTCTTCTCTAATCCTAAACACCTTCACTATTTATGACGTCAGACGTTCAACAACCTTCAGTTTTGACGCCCTGTCTCTAGACTATCGAAGGTATGGCCTCAATGACGAGATAGTCAAAACCTCCAATTTTTTCGAGACTTCAGTAGTAGATTTATTTGACCTGCCAAGCACGGAGAATCAAAGTTTATTTTCCTCATTTAGGGTCAGACCCAGTGGCTTAGTTGAGAAAAGTCGGAAATCGGGAGAATATGGTTTAGATAGGAAAGGAGTGTTTGGAGCACAAGCTGATAATCTAGCGATTACATCAGCGCTTACCCGCGTGCCTTTTCACGCAATCTCAGACGCGCTCAGCTTATCTTGGTGATCGCTTTCGTCATGGATCAGATACTATATCGAGTGGCTAATCAGCTGCACAACGGTAATACATCTGGTGGGTGCACAGCTCCTCTTAAACTTTCTGTTTCCGCTTAGGACGAGTCGCATGGCAAGTAGGAGGAGATTTTGGGCGGCTCAGAACGTGCATTATTATAACCGACACCTTTTCAGTTTCCGAAAAGGGTCCTGCCGAAACATTAGGCAATAAAGTCGTACCACATTGAACTTATATAGGGCATAGCAAAAAATTGGAATCTTATATATAAAGCTGAATGTCTGTTTGTCTGTCTGTCTGTCTGTCTGTATGTCTGTCTGTCTGTATGTCTGTCTGTCTGTCTGTACGTATGTTCCGAATAAAATATTCCATTTCTGAACCGATCCGGACCAAACTGGCACACATACACTACGGGCCCCGGCGGGTGTCATAGGCTACTTTTCGTCATCGATCGATATCGATTTTATCGATTTTTTGCAAAATTTGAGCTACGGGGCTGGGAGTTGGCACAGGGGGGTAATCGAGCATGCTGATCACCCCCGTGGGGGTGATCAGCATGCTCGATTACACCCCCCTGCCAAATTCCAGCCCCCTAGCTCAAATTTTGCAAAAAATCGATAAAATCGACATCGATCGATAGCGAAAAGTGGACTGACACCCGCCGGGGCCCAAAGTGTATGTGTGCCAAGTTTGGTCCGGATCGGTTAAGAAATGGAATTTTCTATTCGGAACATACGGCGGAGCCGGGTATGCCAGCTAGTTGTTTAAATTTATAAGAAATTTTGCCCAGATTCAAAGATAAGAGCACTTACAAATAAGCTAGTAGTACCCCAACTGGTCTAGACTTGGTAGAACATCTATTACATCAATTTGTTGACTGCTTTTTGCACTTCGCACTTGCGAGATGCCTACCGAGCAATCAATCTTAATGTTGTACCTCAGTAGACAAGCAGATCATAACTGTTTTGAGCATGCCTCATACAACCTAGAGGTGATTTGTGAAGAATTTCTAATCCTCAATCTAATACTAATACTGTACGAAAATGTAAGATTACTCACCGTACACCAGCGATAGAAATGTATTCTCTGTCAACCAGAAATCTTTCCGTAAGTATAAAAGGTGCGCCAGAAAGTCCATTAATTGAAAGAGTCGAGTACACTTGGTTTCCGACACTTCGCGCACAGCACAGGGCACTGAGACAGCGTTGGCATGGCGCTGGAATGGCACTGGTCCGCTCCGTCATGCTCATATGTCAAAGACTAGGAGCATATGCACGATTACAGTCTTCGCGCAATTTGGCAACGATCCAACAATTCGCAGTATTTTGAGAGCATTTGTAATTACAAGCATGTTAAAATTGCATCAGTTTATCATAATCCATGCGAATCAATGATAATCGTCTGGCTAGCAAGGAAACGAGGCAGATCTCCCACAAGGGTTCCAACGACTTCTTTTCGTCGTTGGCATCTCTTCAGTGAGCCAATCCAAGGCTTTTTTATACCAGGGTTTAGAAGTTGTTGTTGTTGTTGTTGTGGGTGGTTTTGTGCGTCGTTTTGCGTCTGAATAAAGGCATTATATCTAAGGTGCCGCACCAAAGTAAAAGGCAAATGTGTTACCAGCCACTTGCACAGTGATCATGAGAATTACCTGTAATATTCTTCGTTAGAATTGAATAGAGAATGTCATATTTGTCAGCTATGAAGGGGTGCCGCCGATATTGCGTGAAAAAAGCCAAAATTTTGAAAAATTTTGGGTTCCATGTCGATTTCAGCGCAACTTGTGCGCATACGGGCATGGAGCTTTTTTTTCACGCGCATTTCTGTCGGCACCGCAATGGCACTATATGAGTCGCCAATCTACTAGCTGTGAAGGCACTCACCAGCATGATGATACAGAAGATCTTCATCTTATCGCTTTCTGTTCAACTTCCTAGAATGAGAAGGCTTTAGTTTAAAATGAAGCATGCCTGGTTACATGAGAGAAATCTAAAGGATGAAAGCAAAAAATAAAATGTTTTTGCTGCTTGTAGCATCTCTTAAATAACGTAAAAACATTTAAAAAAATAATTGCCCCTTTTCGGCGATATTTTTTCAATGTTTTAGATTCGAGCGGCATAGAAACATAACGAGCATCGTATGGCGCCATCACGAGACATAATGCATGGAATAGATATTAATCAGAAAAATCGCGAAGGAAGAGCGCTAGGAAATGCTAATACTTTTTTAGAGCAACTGTGATATATTGGCTTTTGAATAGATTGCAAATTTTCTGGCATATATGCCACGAAAAGCACATTAGACATTGGTTGAGCCCTTAGCGTACTTTGCTACTCCGGTGCTGGCCAAAACTATAGGTCGATTCTGGAAACTACCGTAGCTTATCTACATTTCAACGAGTTGATCTAAAAATCTGGTACATTTTTGTGTTTAAAAGGCTAATGTTAATAACTAAAAACAATCCCGTTTTCCTTTGATTATTCAGGAAAAAGCAAAGATTTTGAAAAAGGCAGGCTTGAGGCCCATAGGTGTAAAGCCTCTATCCAGTAGAGCAATTCTAATCTTTCTTTTCTTCTTTTACGCCTGTAAATAGTCAAAAGTCAAAACTCTTGCTTGCTCTAGTTCAGCTGTCTTCATAAAAAACGTTTATCCGCTTTTTTTTCACTTGGTGGTAAGCAGAGTTCATGAGGGATTATGAATTGGCAGCAACACTATTTTGCACCCAGTTTGCACCAAAGACGAGCTGATTGTGCACAAGGCGAGACCGCAATCATCCAACAATTCATGAAATCAGGTTTTTGTCGAAATTCGACGAAGTTTAGTCATAAATTCGGCCTGACTGCGGCAAGAATATATAGAGGTACTCTGTCATGCCGCTTTCGAATATGATAGTGGTTTTGCTTAAAACCTTATTTTTTGAATTCTAAACTTCTTTTCACAAGTCCGGTAGAAATTTCAAAAATGCCATTTAACGGTTTCCTATGATGCTGTTTGTTGATGTTCCTAATATGTTGGTGGTTTTGCTTGAAACTTCAAATTTTTTACCTTTGAAATTCCATTTTTTCATAAGTGCCACTGCTTGGTAAAATTGGTATCTAGGGGTCTTCTGACATGCTGCCTCCGAAAATGCTGGTTTCGCTTGAATCCTTGGAAAAATTTTTTGGATTCTAAACTTTTTCCATGAATTTCACTGCAAATTTGATAAAACAGCCAGACGGAAAAAATCTGCTACGTTCAGAAAAATTGAATTAATCATCTAAATCCAACCAATTATCTTCCAGGGCATTCTATAACCCTTAAATTTTGCACTTTTTGCAGAAAAATTTTGAAAAGAAGTTTAGGATTTAAAATTTTTTTCAGATTTTCAAGCAAAATCATATCATATTCGGAAACAGCGTGACAGAATATCTCTAAGTACAAGTTACACACACTGGGTCCACTGAACTTTGAACAAATTTTGATTAACTTCTGTTTCCATAAACTGTAGGATAGTGGCGGGCTACTGTCTGCACAATCAGCTCGTCTTTGGTGCAAATTGGGGGCAAAGTAGCGCTGCTGCCAGTTCACGACCGCTCATGACTCTGCTAAATAGGTGGCGGCAAGCCTTTCGGGGTATGTGAGTTCTCTCACCCGACCGTAGATTGCGGAGCAGGTGCGATGCAGTTAAACACAACTTGTATTTTGTACGGACAAGTCACTTCTCTCCTCTTCCTTTTGCAGACGGTCGGCTAGCTCTTAACTCTGACCTATACTACCTACCAAGGATAGGATTAAGAAGACAAGGTGGAAGAAACAGTGACTGGTCCACCGCTCTACCGAGTTGAGAAGTCATTAATCAAGATCGCGACGTCACGAGAATGCGCTGTTTGGCAGGAGTAAGAAGGGATTCTTGTCATCGAAGCGATTAGAATCGAAGTGGCCTACCCAAGCAATCATCGCGGTATTCGGTATATAACCGCTGAGTGAATAAATGTATGTATTTATGTGTATTGACAAGTGTTTGGCCGCGCAGAGCGTGCTCCGCAATTTACGGCCAGTCCGTGCGGTCCATAACTCCACGGTATATCACGTCGTGCTGGCAATGAGATCCTTACCCGCTATCGTGCTAGCGCCTTAGCTTTGCCACCAAAACGGAAAAAGCGTCTCTTTTCGAGCGCAAAATTTGCAAGCGTCCTTATTCGGCATAAATTCGCTTTTTATGTCCAATAAAGCTTATTCACATTTTATTATATTGAAAGTTCAAGAATCAAATGGTTTTTGAAGGCTCTTTGCAGTATTTCCAACAGCTCGTTCCTAAAGTTCAAATTACATATCGATGACGGTATAGGCATTCAAAAAATAGATTCAGTTTATCTTCCATATTTACAGGCTGTGTACATACTTATTGCCAGTGTAAATTTGTAACCTTATTTTTATTCTGGTGTCGTTCCTACCAAAAAATAGCGAATTCAAACGGAGTGGATCTCAGAAATCTTGTTTGTAAGAAATTTGCATTTGACTTTATAAATACGAGTAAGGACTGTTATTCAAACTCCCTGCTTACTGCTAATATTTATGAAGCTGCAAAAATACCAGGTTACAGCTCCAGAAAAGTACAACGCCAGAATATCAAGAAAATATCGCATTATCTAACAAGTTATCAACATAAAATTTATTGAAATTATAAATAACCGACATGTCCTCTTCCTCTATAAACAAGCATATATACAAAAACGAGTCCAAATATAGTGGGTCTCATGAAATACTCTCGTTTCCCTTGTTCTACTTGTTCAAAAATCAAGTATTTTCGCTCAGTATGGCATGCTTGCGGTGTCAAGAAAAAAAAATTAAATTTTACGCTTAAACACAAATTGCTAGCTTTTGTTATGCAGGCCACCTGCGTGCGCATATTGCCGGCATTTCAGGTACCGGTACCTGTTTGTTCACGAGAAAATATTGCCGCATTCTCACGGCACCGCAAGCACACTATACCAAGCGGAAAAATGTATTCGAATGTATAAACAGCAAATTGCGTCAACGAATGATGGACCGTCGTTTTTTTTGCTCACTTCCCTACTCACTGTTAAATAACTGCAAAAATACCATGGTATAAATTCACGAGTGGGTCACAGTCAAAGCATTTGGAATCCGAAGATACATAGTACTACTCTATCATAGGTTGAAGGTGTTTGAGAGCGTAAACCTTCTTAAGGATACATAATAATTGCTATTTATTTGGTGTATTAACTGTTATTGTTTATTTGTGTTATGTTAGTGTCTGATCAGTTGTTTCCTCGTATGATCTGCCCTCGCTGAGGCGCCTGCAGCCTCATTGCGCGGGAAATGAGCGCTATAAAAGGCGCTCGCTGTTAGCCATTGTCAGTTCGCTTGTTCACTCATCTGCCTCTCTTATTTTTGACTGTTCTATTATTTTCTAATAAACATTCTCTGTTCCTCGTGTGCTGCCTCAGGACGAAGAGTCGACGTGTCCGACGTGGAGGACACAACAGTGGCGATCAGGAGCGGCGGCTACTAGTCGAAGAAGTAGCCAAATCAACGAAGCCCGAGGAAATCAAATCGACGAGGAGACTGCAGGAAGCGGTCAAAGCGAACCGATAGATCAGCATGACGAAGATTGGCTCAGAGGAGATGCTGATCCTGCTCCAGGAGATGAGAGAAGAACGAAGAGAAATGATGGAGCTTCTGAAGCACATCACAGGACGAAGCGGTACCTCAGCCGAAATCCCGAATGTGATGTCCGCCCTCAGCAACAGGATCGAAAAATTCTACTTCGATCCCGAAGCGGACATGTGCTTCAGTAAATGGTATGGCCGCTACAAGGACGTCTTTGTCGAAGATGCGAAGCAGCTCACAGAAAGTGCGAGAGTGAGATTGCTGTGCGAAAAGCTGGACAAGGACAGTTTCGAAAAGTACCAGAGGCATGTACTACCGAAGGAGGTGACCGCGATTAAATTCGAAGAAACCGTCGAAACATTGAAGCAGCTGTTCGATGTGAAGATTTCGGAGTTCACTATGCGGTACCAGTGTTTGAAGCTGGAGAAGGCGGATTCCGAAGATTACCTCATGTATACCGGTCGAGTGAACGAACTATGCGAGAAAGCGAAGATCCACGAATTGGATAGCGATGGAATCAAATGTCTATTATGGATTTTTGGCCTGAAGAGCCAAAAAGAAGCCGAAATTAGGCAGCGACTCATAGCCGTACTGGACAAGGAGTACAAGGCTGGAGGAAAGATGTCGCTACAGGAATTGTACCTGGAGTGCGAAAACTTCCTTAGTCTCAAGAAGGATAGCGAGACTGTGGCTGGTTGCACGAAGATTGTCGAAGCAACAAGCAAGGAAGAACCCAAGACGCTGGAATGCTGGAACTGTGGTAAAGCTCACTTTGCCAGGGAATGCAAAGCGAAGCTGTGGTATTGCAAGAAGTGCAAGAAGACAGGCCACAAGGAGAAGTATTGCGAACAAGTGGCGGAGAGAAAAGCACTTGTTCAGCAAGATTCGAAACGAAGAATCCACAAAGGCAGCGATACCAGCAAAAACAGAAGTTGGACGAAACCAAAACGCCAAGTGCATAGTGTTGCGAAGATTGCGAACGCAATAAGGGAAGTGAATTCGACTCGCGTATATGTGGAAACGAAAGTTAATAGTCATCCAGTTAGTTTCTTACTGGATACACGATCAGATATCACCTTGCTAAACGAAGCAATCTGGAGAAGCATGGGTGCTCCACTGCTGGAGGAAACAAGCGTGATCGTCAAGAACGCTAGTGGAGGCTTCATGAAAGTCCATGGAAAGCTATGGTGTGAGTACGAAATCAAAGGATCCAGAAGCGAAGGCTACGCATACGTGACGCCCCACAACTCACTGCTAGGATTAGAATGGATCCAGAAAAACGAAGATATGTCCTATC